TGGGAATATTCTCTATTCATTCCACAGAGGTGGTTTTAGTAGGTAGAAGTCTTACACTGTGACTGTAGATGTTTTCAAAAAAATAAATTTTAATTATAAAATAATCATATATAACAACACCAATCTAAGATAATTTGCCTATAATTTTATAAATAAATTGTCTAAGACAATTAATCTTCTAAGGGTTATTAACTAAGGATTAAGAAAATTTACCATTAGGGTCAAAAATGTTTGAGGAAACCAGAGGCTTTTGAAAGTTTCAAACATTTTCTATGTTAAAAGTAGACCTATAAAGGATAAGTTGATATATAAAGTCGTTTCCCATGATTGATTATTACAAATTTGATTAATATGATTGATTATAAAAAGCCTGATTTTTATGATTGATTATTACAAATTCTAATTATATTTTTCTTATTTGATATTTTTTAATGCTGATTTTTGTTTTTTGTGAAGTTCTTTTTTAAAGGGCTTGCTCTATTAAATACTTAATACTCCTATAAATATATGGCAAATATGAAGCAGAAACTCGGGAAGACATTATTATGCATCTTACATTGCATGAATTGTTGTTGCAACAAAAATTCTATTATCGCAAACGTCAACCTCAATTAGGTGCATAGTAACAATATAGTTAATTGCCCACATTGGTGACGCCAATCTTGAATCTCAATCGCAATTTGGTTTTGTAGCTCCAATTGCCTGTGAAGACTTTGTGAAGCTCCTGGGTCCGTTCGTAGTTGGCATTTGCTTGGCACAATAATTGAATTGAAAATAATTTTGTAAACATTCGAGCTCATAACGTAATCGTTGTAAATTTTCAATTGCATTTTGTGTACAAGTAATTACACTAACTGCCAGATACTGGCATATATAACTGCTAATTGTTGTTTGTGTTGTTGGTGTTGCTGATGTTGTTGGTGTTGTTGGTGTTATTGTTGCAGCATATGCAATTGCCATTACAAACATGACAATTTCGTGTATTCATACAATTTAATTTCACTCGGTTAAAACGATATTGTAGTGCAATCTAATTTACCAGATGCTTATTGTATATCCTTTGGGATAGAACTACAGTAGGACAGATACAATATCCTATTGTATGTATATATAGAAGTTAAAGTGGTAGTATTCATTTGTGACGTGTTTTAAATAGTGGCACATTGTTTTATATAGTTTCTCTAAACATTGGCGCAATATTTTTTGTTTAATTGAAACTTGACATGAAGCTCCACAACTGATGTCTGATGTGGTATATGTACACAACCGTCAAAGGTGAATCCAAATACGAAAATGTTGCTTTCTTCATTTACGCTTATGTGAGGTTATGTGTGTGGCGCTTTCTTAGTCCTTAGTCCCATTGATTTGCTGGTAGAACAGTTGTCAACTATTAGAACATGAAATTTGTCAACAAAAATTTCAATTCACTAAATCACTAGAACTTGCTTTTGGGAAAGGTCAACTAGGGGACAAGCAAAAACTACAGAGTGTTGAGTATTGAGTAAAGTTGGTATAAGGATTAAAGTTTTACCTTAAACCATAAAGTATTCTAAATAATGAAGTCCATTGAATCAGCCAGTATCATATATTCATTGTGGTGACATTTTAAAGGCCAAATTGTAGCTGAAAGACGAAAATATATAAATATTAAAATAAAACAACACGTTTTAGTTTAAGTATTTATTATAGTTTTGGTTTTACTATTAATAATTGTTAGCAATAAGTTTTCTTCTTTTTCTTAGTAGATAAGTCGATCAATTTCTATTTATAATTTTAATTTTGGTTTCAATACATGCGATTTTTCTGGTAGTACTGCATCTATTGATTCGATTTTAAGTTACGGCCATGTGGACGTGGAACTACACATATATAGATACAATATTTTTTTAAATTCAATTTAAAATTTTTAATCAGATATCTTCATATCACCTTTCTCATATGTGATATTGTTTAATAATATTGATATTAATTATATTACAATTAACAGCCTTATTATAAGTGTTTATTTCATTTCATTCATATATGTATAATATTAATTCTCTAAAAGGTTCACATATATAAGTGTGTAAGTGTGAACCCAAGTAAGTATGCCTTAAATACTTTAGTTCTAGTTCGTTAGGGTTGAGGCCTTCAATTGTTTGAATGCTCTTTGGAAATTCTCTAAATTAACTTAAGCTACTAGTTACTTTAAAAATACATACTCATACTAGTTGAATTTAAACGTTTATCATTAGTAATTCGTTAAAAATAATTAGTCATTTATTCAATCAACGCATTGATCAATTAAACAATAAGTTAGGTATATAATATATATTTACAATTCATTTCTATTTATAACTAATCGTAGCGAAATGTCCGCGACAGAAAATGCTTTATAATACATACATCCTTATCATATATATTCCGATACGTAAGTTTTAAATGATTTACTGTGATTGAAGCAAGTGAACATAGTAAAAATTCAGAAAAATTAGACTAATTTTAGGTCTATAGGTTTAAGTCCTAGACATTTGAGGTATCGACTGATAATAAATAAAAAAAGGTGTGAATGTAGGAAAGTGTTTGCTTAATGTCGCGTACGTCGTGAGTTCATAAAGGACAACTAGTCCTTGTAATATATAATGTGTCAACTACGTTTTATTTGATAAAGTTTAAAAATGATTTAATATTTATTATTATACTTTACAAATATTTTAACTATTAAAATTATTACATAAACAAAACAAACCGCTCAGCAGTCAAGGAGTGCCAAAAAAAGGACGATTAATATCTGTGAAATACATTTGAGTCAAAAAAGATAAAGTTAAAAATCTTATAAGAAAATTTAGTTTACACTTACAACTACCAAATTTAAAAAAAAAATGGAAGGACTATTTTTGAAAAAATTATTAGTCATAAGATAACGCATAAAAACCCAATAAGAAAACTGATTTCAAACTTTCAATAATCACCGAAACTCATTATTACGTAGCAGTCGCGGAGTGACAAAAAAAGAACCAGAAATATTTCCGCAACATATTTGAGTAGTTAAAAATCCAATGGGCAAAAATTCCACTCCAAAAAAACGTCGAAGTCTAGACCGAGAAATTTTTTTAAAATACCTTAGGCCTTAGGGTTTCTTAGGGAAGAGAATATAACAGCAAAACAGGTCCAAGGAATTTGTCAGGCACTGTTGTGTCGGTCAAAAAAAATATCCTTGAAGTGCACTTTTTAACGTAATGCAGTAATAACACTCGATAGAATAGAGTAGATATTACGAATATTTGAGCAAATTAGATTCAAAAAAATACTTGAATTCTACAAAGGGGCCACAGTAGATTCTTAAGTTGCAAAATTATAAGGTTTTGGTGTATTTTATTTTTCACATTTAAGTCATCAAGTTCAAGTTGCAATATATTATAGTGACTTTTAAGGGTTTATTGATGTTATATTAAAAAAAGGGGTTATCTTTAATGAATAATTTTGTAGGAACTAAAGGATTATAAAGAATTTCTTATGGTGCCTGTTTTTCAACTCTTTTTTATTTATTGAATTCTGACCGAAAATAAAACAAAAACCATTCAGAAACATATATATAAAACTGGCACTTTCAGTTTCTCTTACTTGTTTGGGTCTAATCTTCTAAGCATGCGCATAGAAGATATATTTAGGATCTGTGCTTGTTTCACTCGATTGCTGATTATTTGGAAGTCACACTTTAAGGCTTGAAGTCCTCTTATAAATATTATAGATGTTATGAAATGAGGTAAAGGAAAAAATAACTAACAATTCTTTTGAACTGTTTAGTACTAAACCGGAGCAGAGTGAATTTCTTTGGCAAATTCTTTGGCAAAGTGTAGAATAGAAATGTGACACCAAAGTGTCGCAATAAAAACTTTATGCAACTTTTTATTCGGGCTTCGAAATAGTTTCATAACAAAGAGATAGTTAAGGTCTTGAGTTAAGTAGTGGTGTTATAACGAGCCCTTAGAGTCTAAGTAAATAGTTTATATATCCTAATCTCTGGCGTTAGGAAGGAAATGTGTGTTATAATGGTAACGAATTAAGGAAAGTTAAATTACAATTATGTAGCCTGATTCTCTTACGAAACAGTCTTTCTTAAAATAGAATTTGTCTATAGCTATATTTTCAGAGATATGAAGAACATAATTTGAAATAACCCAGGCAACTCACTTTTTGACTACTTGTAGTTTTATTTGTTGTCAATAATTTTGAACCCTTTGAGTATACTTTGAGCGTGTTTCAAAAAACTTGAAATCGTACAAATAAATATACATTTTCTTATAACTCTTTCAAGAAAAAAAAAATTGATTTTGAGATGAATAACCTCCAGATTTTCTGGAGATTAAAGATGTGTGTGCGATATCATCAATTTTCAAAAAATTTATTTGTTTCATATGTTTTTGTAAATTGTTTGTTATGTATCTCAACTTAATAATAGAAATGATGATGAGTATTTTCAAAATAAACGAAAGGTAAAGGCATTTAAGATTGTCTTTAAAATATGTTTAGTGTATCAGAAATGTTAACCATTTTCCGTTGTTTGTGACTTTTTGTGATAAATTTAAGATAATTTAACGTTTATTATTAAAACTAATAATAGAATAGAAATGTGGACTTCAATGATAATTCGAGAATATCTGTATTCATATATCTTTGCATACATATTTAAACGACTAACATTTCCGTAGTTTTTAGAAAGACGTTTAGTTTGAAATATCATTACTTACTTTCTGGGGATAGGTTGTTTGAAATTGTCTTTATAAAACTCTCCTTTTCACATCATATATTTCTTTAGGACACATTTATATGAGTACATCAATATATCTTGTATTATATTAAACACTATATCATATGCAAAGTGACACAATATTTTATCGTAGTTATTTTTATAATAAATGACAAATATAATTAATTGTATGAACTTTGACGTATTTCTTTAAGTATTTTTGCTTAATTAAATTTTTTAAATGTGAATAAATTACTACACACATAATTGATTTAACTTGCTTTTCCCTTTTACGACGCGTTTAAAATGTTCTAAGTCCCATAGGCGTAGTAGGCGTAACTAATCCCGAACACGAACTTACAACTGCAAACTTTGGTTTTTACTCTTTCGATTCGAACTTGCGTTGGCGTTTAAACGCAATCTTTTCAAAAAGAGATTTTATAGTTCTATTTGCTCTATTCGCTCTTTCCGCTACTACGTGTGTTTCTCTTAGACATTGTCACTCTGTCCAAAACTACTAAAATATGCTTTATTACCGGCCTGTATATCGTTAGCGTTGGCAGTGTTATTGGTGGGGGAGTTATTTTTAAGTTCATCGCTACTATTAGGGGAGCAAGTGTTAGTATCTAAAGTGGAGTTTACAGGGTGTGCTTGGGGCTGTAAGTGTGTCTGCAAACGTGTTTGGGATTGAGATATTGTGGAATCACCTGCAAGCTTAAAGCGATGCGGTTCTTGTTCCTGTTGTTGTTGTTTATAGTTTTGGTATGAGTCTGAGGAGACGGCTGACCAGACACCGTCCTTGGACTTGACATATAAATGCTGCTTGCTGTTATGTGTATTGCCAAATTGATGATTATCGGCAGCAATTGATGAGCTAGAAGCCCATTCATTAAGTAGTTGATTAGTAGAGTTACTGGATCTCAAAAATTCCGTATCTACATCAGTTGTGTTAGTTAGAAAATCAAAATGAGAGCCAATGTTAGTTGCATTGCGAGCTGGTAAGGGGGAATTGTTGCTACTGTTATTGCATGATTGAGATTTATTATATTGATTGCCAAAGTCGATATTATTTTCGCTTTTAAAGATTTTGGGATTTCGTTGACGACGTAGTGTGCCTGCTCCACCGCCATTTATCATTTGCACAGCCAGTGTGGTATTTGCATAGGTGCCAAGACCTTGTTTCAATGCATTGCTGGCAACAAGTAATTGCTGTTGTTGATGTTGTTGTTGGATTTGGCGTTGATTGGTTGCTGCGTTAAATGGATTTAAACGTGGTGCAGAGGAAGAAATGGCAGCACTTTCAACTGAAGCACTGTTGCTACCAACAGAGGTAGATATTGTTGTGCCGGAAGTGGCCGATGATGTTGATGATGTTGTCGATGTGCGATTTATTTTATTTATAAGATCCATTTTATTTTCGGTAATATTAATTTTGTTTCCTCCCATTGGCAAAGATGATGTCTGCGATTTTTTGTTATTGATTTTTGTCGGTGTAGCGGTCAATAATACTGTGGATGCAGTTGATGCAGTCATTTTATCTGATAACATGCCGCCAGCTGTCATTACTGGTGTACCCATTGAGCTATTACCATAGAGATTAGCTTCCATTCCACCATAGTAAGCACTTGGTGGAGCCGAGTAAATAACCGCTGCTTGATAGTCGTCCTGCTGACAATCTATACCGTTGTTCGGATGTTGACGTGCCGTCTTGATAGCCACTGGCATATTGTTTGTACCTGTTCCAACGATTGCGTTCTGTATTTTATGATTTGCTTTTCCTGATGCTGCATAACGATTCTGATACAATTTGGATTTGGCGACTAAGGTTGTTGTTGCATATGCATCGCAACTGTCGTAGAATGCATTGTTAGCCCCAATAATTGTCCCCATTCCAGCATTTTTAGCTATTTTAGCTGAATGTTGTGACACTGGTTTAGCAATGCCGCCTGCTGCCATCGAATTAATTGTATCGTTTGGATTCTTGAATGTCGAACATGCCACTTCAGCATAATCGGGCATATTAAGTGGCGTGAGTCTGTGAAAATAAAAATAAAAAAATAATTGTATCAGTAAAAACCACAAGGAATGAATTGTGAATTTTTAGAATCATTCCAATTAAGATATTTAAAAAAAAAAAGATTGATTTAAATATTTTTGCTTTATTCAAAATATAACGAGCAATTGCTGACTTCTTTACAAAACACAATTACTTAACGTCCTTTATATTGGAATTAAGAACTTATGTTTTTGGAGTTATTTTGGAGTTATATTTCACAAGGAAACTGTTATAAATCAAAGACTTATTCTTCCGTAAAAGATATCTGTTGTGCGTAGAATTTTGCATATAAAATTATGCTTTTAAATGTTCTGCACATTACTTTATACACAGTAGGGTAAAAAATAGAGTTTTGGGCACGTGTCCATTCACAATGAAAGCTGGAAATGCCATTTCTAGAAAATACTTTGATGAAAGTATATCTAGAATAGTTAATCCTCACCAAATATTTTGGAAGCTCAAGAATTGTATGGAAAAACTAAGTAAATTAGCAACTAACATGTTGCTGATGTCTAGGAAAAATGACAGGATGACCGAGAAATACCGATACCGAAAATGACCGAGAATATAACCGCTATCCAAGGGAGGTCTTATATAAATAAATTAAAAAAAAAACTTAATAAGATTATTTCTTGAAAACTTTAACAATGACAACAATACTCGATATAAACAGGATTTGTCGTGATACCTACTGTTACAATATCCATTAAAAATATTGGAGCTTGTCGGAAAGATATACAACACTACAATACAAAGACTGTTATGTGTGTAAGTAAGTGTCTTTGCAATTGTGTTTACACACCCACAGTTTTTGTTATAGTTTCACTTAAAAGGTAGATAGGACTATAGCGGCGATTATTGTTATATTTAATGTTACGTAGGAATTCTGCACTCGGCTTGAAGTTATTCGGATCTGTTTGGAGATTGAAGAGACTGTTAAAATTCGTGCAAGTAAGAATAATTGCATTTGTTCACTTTGCCTTTAATTTATCAATTGTCTTTTTTTTTCTTAAAGTTCACATTTCCAATGCTTCTCTTATAGCAATAATGTTGCTGAGGATGCATTTTTTTTGTGAGAAGTCATGAAATAGATCTTAGGTATAAGAAGGAGATTCTGAGACACAAGATTACATGATTATTCTTAGCTTGGCGATACTAAACATTTTAAGCAGAGCGCCTAGGTTTTTATTTTTTTTTTTTGTATTTCGGTCCCCAACTAGAAAGTGTAATTATTGGGCTCCGTTTAGTCTATATTTCCATATTTGAATTTTTAATATTTGTCACGCAGACCTTTTAAAGGTCTCGATAAATACTTTTATAAGAAAGATGTAAAAATATTAGAAACTCATCGGTATGATTCTATAAGAGTAAATGAAGATTAAATTGATGAATAATCCATATTCTGTTGACATCTGTTACTGCTAGTAGGCCATTATAGATTGATGTCATTGTTTATTTTTATAATGGACTGATGTTTAGGGTACAAAATTCCACTGCTTGCTTCTGGAACAATAGATAATTGTTTGGGACTAATTCGCGGTATGTGCTCTTGTAATATTTTTATGTTTTAGGATTTTTCAGTTACAATAGCAAATTCTAACTACTTAGGATTGACTTTTATCTAAATTTTAGCACTTAATAGTACAAATCTTCCATTCGGTTCAGAAATAAAGAAACATTTCTTTTAGAAGTACTTTTTTAGTAATTACCCTGTGAAACGAATTAAGGTTTATGGTTTTAAATTATTAATTTTATGGACTTTAAACCTTTCCGTTTAAGGTGCTATAAATATATGTAACATTTCTTAAAATTGCAAATTTATATGTTTGTTTTTGGGTTAGACTTGCACAAAGTCTGGAAATAATTGTTCAGGTGAGTGAGAAACGTAAACATTTGGAATATGCGTCACCTATTTTACGACATTCTGGCTACCGTCACGATGCAACGTGCTGCCACCCTTTTCATTGGTGCCTGCATGAGTTACTTTGTGTAGGTTTAAGAACTCCAATAAGAACTGAACTTCTAGTGCTTTTAATACAATATGTAAAAATTTATTGTGCGATGAAAACAGTTGGGAATATGCAATCTCAACACCCGGGCGAGAAATAAGCTAAAAAGGGGAAGTTACTGTAAAAATAAAAAAAAAAAAACAACGGAAGTAATGAAACTTGAAATCATAAAACACAAAAAAAAATAAAAATGTAAATAAAAATTTGGAGGAGTGAAGGAAATACGAGCATCAACATCAAGTTTTTATTCAAAAACCCAAATAAACTCACAAAATGCCACAAATAACGAATAAACGACAGCAACAACAGGGTAAGCACCTTGACTGTTGTTTACATTTTGTTGTTGCTTTTGTAATTGTTATTTTTGTTATTGTAACAATGTAACATCAAATTTAAAAAATAAAAAAAAATTAATTGTAAACTTAAACAAGCAAAAGGCCAACAACAACAGCAGTGTTCTATCTACCATCAGTGTGGGACAAGTGGGTATCATATTATAGCCGGGGCAAAACATAACCTCTGTGGAAAGCACATATTTTTACAACGCATTAAAGTACACACAAACGCATATCATCTTCCGCATTAATTTTACCTTAAGAAGGAAAAAAGCTCATTACTCCTGGAGAGGTGTGAGGCAAGCGAATCCGCAACAGTTAATTTCTGCCTCATATGCTCCGGTGCCGGTGGAGGGGTTTAAATAATATTACTTTTTCCATTGTTGGTGGTGTGTTGCTGCTCTGCTTATTTGCGTTTATATACGAGCATTGTTGCTGTTTTCGAAGGCGGTTATATTTTCTCGGATGTGAAATTAAATAACGCAGCAGCACTCCAGAATAAACAACAACATATATTTTTACTCATTTGCGCGGAGCGGGGAAGCGTTCAAGTGGAACACTTTAATGGTGCAAAGCGGGCGCGGTGCAATATTTTCACTAGCTTAACGTAAACGTTCACGACGCAACGTACTCGTACATCCTTATTTACGTTATCCTTAACCTAAACGCAAACAATAACAATAAAACAGAAGTGGCGGCGAAATGAAAACGGCCTTATTAAGACGAGGGTGCATAATTCAAATTAAAAACATTCCAAAAACGTTCAATGAAGAAATTGAGTTTCTGTTATTAAGAAATGTGATAATTCATATTTTACGCTTTCGAAGCTTAGTACTTTTGTTATTAGGTAATCCCCGAACCCTCAATCATATCAGATCTTTTATGCAAGTCTTAGAAATGCTTGAATATCTCCAAATGAATAGAATAGTTGGAGAACACACAGAGTTTTACGAAAACTAACGAACTGAATTTACCCAATTAACACAACCAACACAGATCGATTTTATGGAAAAATTTTAATGAAGCTAATAATTTTTTTATGAGAAAAGCTACCTCACAAAGAACTCTTAAAGTTTTAGATGAACGGATAAGTAAACTAGAACAGATCCTTTTTAAATACCGTATGTAATGCAGTCTTCAATAAAAGTTATGCTCTGGAACGCAAATGGGCTGCTACATCAACAAAACGACTATTCTTTACAACTTTATTCTTTACAGAAAGTCCATCGATATATGTCTAATAGCAGAAACGCACTTTACGAGGGAATCACATATAAAATTTAGAGGTTATGAAACTTACTACACTACTCACCCGAATAACATCAAAAAAATTGAATATTTGCCAATAAATATGTGCAGTGCTCAAATACCATACTCAAACACAGCTAAATACCTTGGCATGAACTTAGATGCTAAGTTGAAATGGAAAGAACATATAAAGAAAAAACGAGTTGAATTAGAATTCAAATTCAAAATTTTATATTGGCTTCTTGGGAACAAATCACCCGTCTCTCTAAACAATAAATTAATGATATACAAGCAAGTCTTAGCTCCGGTGTGGACGTATGGAATCCAGTTATGGGGATGTGCACCAAAATCCACTATTCAAATCATTCAAAACTTTCAAAACAAAGTTTTAAGAAACTTAGTCAACGCTTCGTGGTTTATTAGGAATACTGACCTCCATCGAGACTTGAAGATCGAATCTGTGGCTGCAGTAATCCAAAAGTTCGCGGTAAAGCATCAAAAACGATTACAACAGCATCCAAACGAGACAGTCAACCATCTGTCTTATACATCTGGCCTGCTGAGGAGACTTAAACGAACAAAGCCTTCAGATCTACTCCCGAATTAGTAGTCTAATAATAATTTAGATTACTACTATTAACACTAAGTCTTTGACAACTTGACAATTCTAATAAGTATTCTGAAATGTAACATAACTGCTTGATAGTTCTTTGTATGAACTAGTCGTAGTCAAATGAAACATGTATTTATATTATTGTACATATTGTGTTTCAAATAATAAAACAAAAAAAAATAAAAAAAAAAAAAACAAAGAACTCTTTGTGAACTATTATAGAACTATTATACAGTAGAACTATTATATCTACTCATTCACGACATAACGTTCATATTGCAGCCTATAGAAAATTAGAGAAGAGTGGAACTTATATTATCTAACATATACTGGGTGGATTGATAAATACTCGGCGTAAGGGATAAAAACGCATTTTTGTGGAGAGTTATATTTTATGTTTCAATATAGTCCCTTCTTAGCTTGACATACCATATACAACTATCAACATTTGGATCTGATAAATCGGATCCTCCACAATATTTATCAGTTCCCCATTCCACTTCATCATTTAATGCTAATCTCTTTCCCTGGAGATATTTGTTCAACTTTGGAAATAGCTAATAGATACTGGGAGCCAAATCTGGAGAATGCGGTGGGTGAGGAAGCAATTCGTAATGTGATTCTCTTAGTTTTGGTATGATTTTAATTGACATGTGAGCGAGTGCGTTATATCCTGCAAAAACAAAATTTATTTCTTCAACAAATGTGGTCGTATTTTCTTGATTTTCTTATTTAATCGATCCAATAACATGCAATAGTAGTCTGATATCATTATTTTTCTTTTTTACAAATAGTAAAAATTATTTCACTTGAATTCCAAAATACGGAAGCCTAAACATTTCCAGCCAATTTTTGAAATTTTCGTTTGGAAGCACTACCCTCTATCCATTCTGTGTCATGGTGTATTGTTTTCCCTCTGGTGTGAAGTAATGGAGCCATGTTTGATTAATTACCACTACTCCACACTCATAATCAGCTAGAGTGTGCCAAAACATTTCCAAACAATGTTTTGAATGACATAGTCCTTGACGTTTTTGGTCAAATGCGAGCATACTCGGCACCCATCTTGCAAAAAGATTTTTCACACCTAAAATATTTATGTAAAATATTCGATACATGACATGACATGTTTGTTATCTTATTTTTGGATCATCCAACACAATATCGTGGATTTTTTCAACGTTTTTTTTAGCTTTGACCTATTTTGGACGACCCGGACGCTCTTCTTCAAAAACATTCATACGAACGCGTTTAAATTCAGCTTTCCAATATTTTATTGTTGGTAACAATGGTGCAAAGTTCATAAGAAACATATGTTTTAATACCAAAATTTACAACCTATTTAGATAGCTCAACACAAAATTTATGAAGTACCTAATGAAAAAGTTTAAAAAATCTCACTTATGGAAGCGTGAGAAGAATCGATAGAGATTAATTGGAAAATTTTTTGACATTCTTAAAAAAATTTATGAATTTGCTATTCTTGCGCCTAATGCCACACATGGATGCTTTATGGTTAGGAGTATTGCAAAATCAGAAAGATTTCTTTAATTCATCCAAAACGAAAGTAATTTTTTTTTAAGTTTAAAAAAGATAGTCTAATTCCATCCATTCACACGATAGTGATCTGAATTTCTATACACTTAACTCAGTCTATCTACAGTAGAGCTAATCGTTTCATATAATTTCTTTCTCAATACAAACTCGTATAGCACTATAGATTTTCCGAAGAATTCTTCAGATTTCAGTATGGATCATAGAGTTAATGTTAATAGTTTCATTCACAAACAATTGGTGTTTAAATTGATTATTGGTTGTGAAGGTATATGGATATGATCTATATGCTTTAAAATACTTATTCTATGTTTTTTTTTTTCTTCAGATTTCAGTATGGATCTTAGAGTTAATGTTAATAGTTTCATTCACAAACAATTGGTGTTTAAATTGATTATTGGTTGTGAAGGTATATGGATATGATCTATATGCTTTAAAATACTTATTCTATGTTTTTTTTTTTCTTGGAGGCTATTTGTAAATTTTGATCATTATATTCTTAACATATTATACCGCATATGCTATATACTGAACAATTATTTAACACTGAGTTGAATCCTTCATTATCAATATGAAAGTACATGAGTCTTTTTATTTAGTCAGAAAGAATTCAAAGTTATATTAAATATTTAGTCAGGGGTAAATTTTCCTTAAAAGATTTAATAAATTAAAACAAATTAACTATAGCTGATAGATATAATAAATATTGATATCTACAAAGTAAATGCTTGATATCTTTTATATATCTCCAGAAAAATGTACAATTTAAAGAAAATTGAAGAAATATTCATATCGTGATCCTGATTTGGCAGGATTGTTTAACAACCCTTCAATGTACAAAAACTATGAAAACTTTCCACAAATATAGTATAATATATATAGTATTATTTGCATATAATATAAGTATATGTGTTATATATATTTTTGACATAAAATTTGCTTAAATGAAGATACATATTTTTATTGGTTGCAGCAAAGATCATCCATATACTGGACGATCTCTAATCTGGATATATAATAACCCGAACTTTTGATCGTTATAGCCATATGATTATTAGTGTTTGGAATAAAATATTGAAATTTATGATACGAGTAAAATGAAGATACTGCCGTGGAAGTTATGCAAATTCAAGTGGATCGCTGTTTCACAATTGTGTAAAAATATTCCGTACATGTTATTTTATGCTGTGGTGGTGTCAATGTAACCAGATTTATTTTTTTTAGGGTTCTGTAATGGATTATGTTTATGTGGACAATTCTCGTAAAATATTGTTGAACTATTGATAGGGATGTCCGGACAAATGATCGATAATTTTGTCAAAAGGATTCAGTACTTTTAGATTTGCCGTGAAAATTTGAAGCAATACATGGGAAAAAAGAGAGTTATTGAAATCCCAATCACAGGTATAGTAAGTGTTTGGTTCTGAAAAGTGATGTGGATTACTTTTGAGTTGTAAGAAATGCTACTAACATGCTTAAGACAGAAGTAGTTTATATAATAAATCTGTTTATATATAAACCTTGCTGCTTTCTAAGTCTTTTTAATCATATATAAAGGGTTTATCAAAAAAGTGGAAAAAATCAATTAAGTAAATTATATAAATATGGGAACCATGGGATACGTTGGGAAAAAGGTGTAAATTAAATTTGTTTGTAGTTTTCCTATTTCCATTGAGTTTGTCGCTATGCAGTGTAGTGAACGAAATTTAAATTAATTTCAAATTAAAAATAGAACAGCACGAATACTTCGTGCTTCATACGGCATTCATTAAAAAATAAGATAGCAATAAAATGCAAATAGATAAACAAACTAGACAGGATATTATTTTATATCCGCTCAGTAACAGTTTTCAATTTATGTTTGGGTTCAAGCACGCACAGCGCTTGTTTGATTTAATTTATTATGTGTGTTGGGACGTATTCGAATTAAGAGTTCAACCCTGAACCCGAAACATTGCGAATACGGCCCACGATTTTGCAGAACCCTTTACATGTTCCATGCGACTTATGTACGAAATCTAATGAAATATGTAAGCAGTTGTGTGCTTGGATTGGAATGGGTTTCATATTTCGATATTGAGTCTCCTTGGCATACTCACCTCTCATAATCTGGCAACGGTAGTGTTTGTTGTGCTGTCACTTGCGCGTAATCCGGAAGTTGTTCCTTTGTAGTACAGGTCGTTGCTTGTCGCCATACACCGCCAGTTGGATCGATCCAAACACCATTTGCATTCAATGGCAACGTTGGAAATTTACGCACGGAACCGATTGCGTGATTTCCTTAAATAAAAATTTTATTTTTGTTTGATTTGGTTTTACTATATTCGTTTATTTGCAAATTAAATTAAGAAATGTTAAACAAAATAGAGCAAGAATAGAATAGAACGGAACAGAATAGAATAGAATAAAATAGAATAGAAAGGAAAATAAGTATTGGTTTAGATAAAATGCGGAAATAACGTTTACACAATCGAAGGTTCTTGTGTGCTCCTTTATTCCTACAAATTGATTAGGCTACTTTCCTTTTAATTTATATGTATAACCGTTTTGGTGCGATTGTGTAGCTGTGGACATATCCTAGTTAATTCTAATGTATTTTATAGCTTTTATGTTATGCTGGTTTTGTAGTCCAAAACAACTTTCATACTTCCGCCGTCTTTCTACTTCCTCTTTCATTCAAATAAGAATTGATGCGATTTTTACGTGAAACAATCTAATTTGTAGTTTTCTGTTAGTTTTGGAGTTATCATGTCTTGTGTGCTTTAATTAATTGCATTAAGCGGTTCAGTTTCACCTAAATATTTTTGCTTTATTCTAAACTAATTGGGTTAGTAACGAATTTGTTCTTTTTATTTTATTACAATGAAATCAGTACAAAGGCCTCATGAATATAAACAATAGATCATCAAGACAAGATAAATCGATTTAAACTATATAGATAAATGTCCGTCTGTCGGTTTATATTTTTGTCTGCTGCATTTTAAATTAAATAAAATCGTTTATTTAAGCATTCAGGTGGTTTCTTATGAGTATATGGTTTACATATGTATTGTATATTGGTTTTGTGAACACACCATCGGCCCGCAAGGTATTACAGGGAACCTTCTTTTTCTTTAACTGCCTTCGTTTCTTCTTCTTTTTTTAATAAGAAATTAAAGTAACTTTTTGCACTATTTTGACCGACTTCGACAAAACGCCATTTTCACCAATTTCCTGCTATTGAAAGGGCTCTTTTCTTTACGTTAAGAGAATGCACCTTTTACGATTTTCCAGAGTTCAAACGTATATCAGTTTTGTGTTGCTATTTTCTCCTTCCTTTTATAGAGCATATAGAGAAATACTTATGAAATAGTTAGGTGGAAAGTAATAAAGTTTTTTTAAAATTTCTTTTTTGGAAGTAATTTCCGAGTTGTTGACCTATCCAAATTATATTGTAAAATCGGCAAAAAGAAATCATTTGTACAGTTAATACTTATAAAAGCTTTAATAAGAATATATAACAATATATGCTTACTGCATATAATACCAATCAGCTGATGTAGATGCTATAATAAATCCATAACTACATAATGATCTTAGACACAGTATTCAGTGGTAACGCTATATACTTAAGGGCTACTTATAATACATTTACAATTCTGAACGCAATTCTGAATAACAAAGGCTACTTGTAATATATTTACACCCCTAAACGGAAAAGATATATTAAAATACTATTCATTGGCAATGTAGACTGTAGACAAAAAGAGTTTTATTACTTCTTCAGGAAAATGTTGGAAACAAACAGATTAGTTTTCTAATGTGTGCACTACGATGAATAATCTATTGAAGTAGAGCTCAAATTTTTTTTTTTGGAAAGATAAAACAGTCGTTAATTAAGAGACAACATCAATACGTTATTTTTGTTGATATTATATATGATGTTCTATTTCTGTCCAATATGTTTTAAGTTCTCAGCATGACGTCATTATACCTAAGGCTGTTACAATGTATTTTTAGCACTCTTCCATTTTCCTTGATAGTCTCTATATAGCCATTACCCTTCATAGAAAATACGGTACTTATGCATGTGTAAACGTTTATACCGATGGGTCAACATTGAGTAGGGAAGTCGAATTGGGGAATATTTTTATATTACTTAAGAACTTATATATATTTTATACTTTCTGACATAAGGCATAAACTTTATGATTAAACCATGTAGTTGAAAAAAATCTAAGCACACACCCATCATTCCTTTTTGTAGTATGTTTAGGAATAAAACAAGCTAATTTTTTCTGAAAGTCTTTGGGAAATATCTTCTATGATTTGAATTAATAAAATATATTTAAAAAAATTGAAAAATATAGAAGTTGTTTTAAAATTTTGTTCAAAATAATTGGCGGTTTTTGAGCTGAAGTAATATAAATCGCGAAAGCTAACATCTGTTCCTAAATATTCATTTTCGAAAGTTACTGGCTTTACTGGTTTTTGTTAGAATTTTTACTGGAAAATAATAGCTGAAATATGAAACGGAAAACTGAATCAAAAAGGATTTTTATATGCGTGTTAATAGGCACAAATTCATGCAAAGAGTTCCTTGGCATGTATTTTTACTTTAACACAAAAAAGGATGAAAGGAATTGTTTTATACGGAATTTTGCGTATACTTACCATGTAAACTGCCTAACGATGTCTGCTTGATGAATTGATAACGTTTGAATAGGACGAGTGCACCAAAAAGAAACACAATTATGGCTATTATGGATCCTAGCAACACGATAAACCATGTTTGCGTTAAAAAGTCATCGGCGAGCTCGCGATTGATGGGGTATCTGTAAAATGCATAAATAGTGAATGATTAAATGATTGCCAACAGAAGCCCGCACTGTAGCCTGACGGTTGAGGCTGGCTTATGAATAAACTCTATCATGCACAGCCACAAATGCAGGAAATAGAGAATAAACACAATGTATGAATGAAACGTATGAATAGTAGGTTTCAAGCCATTTAATAGATGTGTAAATTGTTGACTACCATAGAAGTTAGAAAGGCAGTTTCTATCATTTTTTGCCAGTTGCGCTCATGATACATCAACATCAATATGTACACCAACAGCAACAACAATGCGAACAATAATAGGTACAAATATATATTGTTAGTTATATACAAACCTTGTGTATCCGGTATCGAGTGATTGTGTTCTGGGATCCATACGTAGCACCGCTGGCTTGCTGAATGGTCCAACACCCATTTTAGTGGCTGCAGCTACCGCAATGTAGTATGTAACGCCTGTGGTCAGATTGGCCAGGAGCAGTGTCGGAGTAGCAGCATCAATTGTCATATTTTTGAAAATTCGCGTCGTATTGTGCGAGTCAAGCCCTCTAACAATCACATTGTAGCTAGTTAATATGCCTAAAGGATGTGCGTGTTTTGTGTGAGCATTGAAATAGAAAAGACAATAAAAATTACGTAAATTAAGGGTTATTTAAAGTAGGAGAGAGGAGCACGCTGGAGCTCAATGTTCTGGTGTTGCATAAAGCAAATAATGGAATGCCTCAATGAGCTCCTGCAACGTCATTTGTTTGTTACGTACCATTTCTCGTTTTGTTCGGATGAGGCGGTAGCCATTTCAGGAAAACAGAAGTTCGATTGAATTGTATTGCTTCCATGCCATGCGGTGGCGACTCGGGTACTATTGATGGTATTGAATTAGAAATTAGTATGGTAAAGGATCGATTTTGTGAAGAATGTTAAAAGGCATTAAAATGAACTCCACAATGCAGTCAAAGTCTATTCATAAAAGTTATGAGATTTAAGATCAAATATCAAAACCAAACTCAAAGTCAGTGCTGCGATTAGTTAGTAATTGTATTAACTGTGCGATTTAAACGGATAAAAAAAATTAAAAAAAATTTAGTCCTCAACACAATAAATTTTGCTTTAATTGCCGTTAGATTTGTGGAGTTGCCTTTCAAAAAAATTGCTACTTACTGTCATCTTGCGTACGCGCATATTTCGCATTTGATGGTTTGCCTATGACGCTTTTGTAAAATGGCATAAGAAAAAACTCATACGTGCTTGCCTTATCCAGTCCATTGAAAGAGCAAGCAGTGGCTCCGCCTCCTGCATTAAGCACCGTCATCATTTTATATTCGGCCGAATGCAATTCCCTTGCGTATATGTAGAAGCCTTCAATGTATTGTCCACTATCGATGTCCCATGCCAAACGCACAGTTGTTGAATCGGTTGCGTTTGCTTCAAGCATTTCGACAATATCGCTTGTCTGCAGCAACATTTCCACTTCCGCAAGTAGTATATCTACTGACCTGCCATCTAAGCTGAAGTGGCTGCCAATACCACTACCGCTGCCTACCAATTTTCCAGCTGTAATTGGTTCTGATATTGGACTAGGCGGGGAAAATCCGTGTGTATTTTCAGCGCGCACAATGAACATGTAAGCAGCTCCATTTGTCAAGCCATCGACTGTAAAAATGGGTTCAGTGAGCCGCGATGCAATGGGTATCCAAGTTTTGCTCTTGTTTGTAGAATACATCTCAACAGTGTACCCAAGCAATGGTGATGCACCGGCTTTGTCACTTGTTGGCCAGACAATTGTTAATGCAGTTGCAGAGGCATTTAATACTTTCGGCTGGCCTGGCGCGGTAGGACATTTACTTTGCTCGGGTGCACGATAGAACTTAATGTTGGGATTAGTTGGCACTTCTATACGCAGATAACCACTCCAAGTGGATTTTCCAGTTCGACTGCTTGCAACACAAGTATAAAGTCCTTGATCTTCCTTACGATCTAAATCGGATATGATTAAATCTCCGGCAGTGGTTATGTTAATTTTTGCATTCGGATGCACAGGTATGCCATCACGATACCAAGATATTGTGGGATTGGGTAAGCCAATTGCTTTACACTGTAAAGTGGCTAATGATTTAACCGGCAAAGTTTGATTGACGGGACCAGCTATAATTATCGGTGGTGGACGATCTTCTTGAGAATGCAGAGTTAGTTGAGCGCGTGCAGTTATTGTTGCAACTTCATTCATGGCGTTACATACAACCACCAAATCTTTATCAGTGCGTTGAAAATTTGTTAAAGTCAGTACGGAATGCCCTTCATCAGTGTTAATGCTTTGAAAGCGATCCAATGGTGGTGCTCCGGGAAATATTATAGTGCGATTATTCTTTATAGTCCAATATATAGTTGGGCGTGGATTTCCACCAGCGCGACATTCAAAAGAAGTGTCTGCACCTAATTCCACTGACTTACTGGTTGGTCTTTGTATAAATCTGGGCGGAGCTACACATGTATTAAACGAAAAACAAACAGAAAAATGTCCAATTCATAAGTTCCAAAAAGTTAGAAAGGGTTTAATAAACTTTGGAAACCTACCGAATACAGTTAAGATGCCTGTAGCAGTTATTTCTCCAACAACATTATCAGCTTCGCAGCTGTATTCTCCCTCATCTGCTACTGTCACACGTTCTAAACGAAGACTACGATCCTCTAAAACACTGACGCGCTCTGAAAAGGTTTATACGTTTTAACTGAGACGGTACGAAAAAAGAGAAATATGAATATGTAAATATAGAAAAGATTTTATAGCTTGCTATTTAAAGCTGAATAAAATTCTCCATACAGTCTTAAAGAGGTACTATAATATTAAAATGAAGTATAGATATAATTATTTTCTCTTCGGCAATATAGTCAGCAGTCAATTTGATATATAATAATACTAGAGACTGAAGATATGGCGATTGTATACATCTTTATTCTTTTTCTATTTATAAAGAATTTAGATTAAATTAGGAATGAGCTAAGAAGTAGAATATGAAAGTTTAAATAACACTAATTATACACTTCAAGCTATTATTTAAAGGTAAAACATATAAACGTGTTGTGCAGAATAGAAAAAATGTTAAACTTTTAAGTTGATTAACCGGTATATAGTATATTCGATAATTTTTCTGTTTAATATATCAAGACAAGTTTATAGTTAACCAAGCAATATACTACATATACTACATATAATTAATAGCAAGTATAAACATATGATGTCTACATATAATGCATATAAAATAGTTCTTCTAGTTTTTCATTTCTATCAAATATATACTTACTTATTTCTCAAGTATATACTTATAAATTTACTTACCTAAAGGCATATTTCCTCCAGAGGCAGATCGTAGCCATAACACATCCGGCATTGGATCACCGCCAACACGACAGGGAAATGTTACTGATGAACCCTCTAAAACAGTTTGATCGTTCGGACCACGTATGATAAATGGCTTCACTATTGAGCATAAAAAAAATCATAAATATTTATTAATAAACGATACTAACTAAACACTAATTTCTCACTAATTTGTAGTTAGCAGAGAGTAACTATAAAAAAACCGAATGTCAATTTATATCAGTTTTACGATAGTTCTGTTTTGCATTTTTGATATCCAAAGTTATTTTCTATTAAATGAGTATTCTCTATAAAGAAGATGTTGGGGAACTATCTAAATATTGAAACTATAATAAAAAGGCAATAATTTTGCCTCAAAAATTTTGAATATATAATATAGTTTTTATTTGGAAACTATTGCTTCCTACTGCCTATTATTACTACTGCTTTGAGATAGCTATTCTTCCAATAATATTTTTGCCTTACTTAAGGAATGTATAACTGATTTAATATCATAAATAACAGATCTATTGCGGCTATGTTAATAGGGCAGAAGCTCATATTTGACTAAATCAAATCATGTTAATTTGATTTGAAATTGTTGAATAATGTCAGCTTATTAGAATTTGAAAATATATCGCATTTTCTATTTAATTTTTTGTTTTTCGGATTTTGCATTAAAAAAATCAAAGCTTACCATGAACTTTTAGTGTTGCTACCGCAGATTCTCGCACACCTACAGGATTTTTGGCAATGCATTGATATTGACCCTCATCATTTTGACGTGTATCCTGTATTGCCAAATTGCCTCCATCTACAATGCGTATCCTTTTCGAACCATCCAAATCTAATTTTTGGCCATTTTTTTTCCATGTCACTGTCGGTTCCGGCACACCACGTGGTGCAGCACATTCCAACAGTACGGTATCGCCTTGTCCTATACGTGTGTTCTGTGGTTCGAGTCGGAACTCATCACGTAAAACTGTAAAAAATATTAAAAAAAGTGCTTAAATTAATGGAATAAACATGAGCATATAGATATCTACAAGATATTTTACGCTGAAATGCATAAACAACATGATTGCAAATAGTGTAGCAAGTTATTATCAAATAAAAGATTTTAAGCAATTTGTAGATATACTATATGATATGGAAAGTTAAATATCTTTCCATGAGATTTGGACTTAATTGAATAATTTCATTAATTTCTTGGAGAAATACTGAAAGATTACAGCCAAGTTTAATATTAGGTGTAGTAGAAAAAGAAATCCATTATGGTCCAATAAATGGATTTAGTTATTTATATCCAGCATTGTATAAGTCCTATCGGGTTACACTTGATAGCGTTAGAAATATGGCGTTGGGTTTTGATAGTTTGGCACCAGGTCAACTCAGTTTTGTTTGAAAGCGCGTTAAAGATGGACACTAATAAAGAGGAAATACACCACATGCTTAAGGTGATCTTTGATAAAGGAGATAATGTGCGCCAGGCGGCTGAAAATGTGATTAATGTTTTTTTCGGTTGTAACAGTCAATCATGTGGAGTTTTGGTTTCGTCGATTGCGTTCCTATAATTTCGATGTTAAAGATTACGATGCACGGCGCATTGAAAGATTAATTGTAAAAAATGTCGATAAAATCATGTAAATTGTCGTGTCCGACGTAAGCGTAATGTAAGCAAGCTAAAGATATCACAAAAAATCATTTGCACCAATTGGATAAGGCTGGATAAAAAAGAAGCAATTTGTGGGTACCACAAATCAACGCAAAAAAGCCCTAGGAACCAAATTTTCAACTAATTTCTGAAGCGGTTGGGGTCTAATGATAAAAAGTGGATTAGGATCACTTACGCCAACGTTAAGCGAAAACGGTGCCGGTTGAATTGTGGTGAGGTGGCTAAAATGATAACCAATCACAGGTTGATGGTCAGGAAGATCTTTTTATGTGCTGGCAGGAAATTATTTACTATGAGCTGCTCGCCTCATTTACGCGAAACTCTTAACTGTATTATAAATAGATGAACCTCTAGTGTTTGAAAAAACTAGTCTCCCAGAAACTTGTTGGTCACCTTTCGCCAATAGCGGAAGAATTTTATTCCACTCGGACAACGTAAGGCCACACGAAACAGACATCGTTAATGACTCGCCCAAAGTTCCGGGAACTTGGTTAGAAAGTTCTTATGCATTCACTTTTTGATTCAGATCTGGCACTAGATGATTATCATCTGTTCCTGTCCATGGTGTACGATGGACGACTTTTGTGGTGAAAAATTCGCTTCACGAGATGATTGTGAAATTTGACTGTCTCAATTTATTACCAATAGGGACAAAGACTTCTATAAAAGCAGCGTAATGAAATTATTCTCAAAATAGCAACAAGTTTTTGAACAAAATGGCGCATATTTGACCGAAGTCAAATCATTTTAACTATAAAAGGTTAGGTTAGGTTACTGGGATCGTCCGAAGACTCACTTTGACCATTGTGATACCCTTAAGAATTTTACACCTGTCCCTATAACCATTTGGTACTGGCTACAAAGCCATTGACACGAGCTAGCTCTATTAGTGAATTGAAAAAGTGTGACCCTAAGTAGGAGAGTCTATGTCTTGCGAAAGGCGGACACTGTAGCAGAAGGTATATTAGTGATTTCTCTTCATTATTTTCCATGCAATGTCTACAATGTAAGCAGGTTCTGATATTGAGCCTCATAGCATGTCCTCCCAACGGGCAGTGTCCCGTAATAGTTCCTACTATCTTGGATAAATTTGCTCGGGATAGGTTGATTAATTCCCCCGATCTCTTCTTACTAATTTCTGGCCCAGAAAAATTTGTGCTATCGTACCATGTCTTGCTAGTTCATCTGCTATACAGTTGTCTTGGCTGTTCCTATGTCCAGGGACCCAAATAATCCGTATCCGAAACTATTCAGTCAACACCATAAGTGATGTAAGACAATTCAGGAAACATTGTGTTTCAGCTAACTATAGTAAAGAAGCCTTTAATTTCAGCAAAAATAATGGATTTCTTTTTACTGCACTAATTACAATCCAAATACAAATATTATGTAAACTGTTTTTTGAAAGGGCTTATGGGAATAAAATAAAAAATTGTAGATTAGTTTTTATTTTAAGTTCTATATAGTATTTATATATAACTATCGCTTATATAAATATTATGCAAACTATTCAAAAAGAACTTTATTTAAAGGGTTACGTTTTAGATGAGCCGATTTAAATTGAATGGTTTTAATTAATGTCAAAACTTTTTCAGTATAAAACAATAATGATGACAGCTACTGCTGAGTTACCGTCAACGATGGCAACATTAGCAGCAACAACTTCAATTACTGGAACAACAACAGCAGCAGCAACACATCCAGAACAAATGCCAGAAGAATTTAAATAGTTGAGAGATTAAAAGCAAAAGTAATTACAACAATTTCAACTCTTGCTGTAGACTTTAACAAGTTGCTATAATTGGATGTAACAAATGGGCAACATTATACAGGGTGTAGCTGAGAATTCAATGAAAACATCGAAACGATTTAAAACTTCGCTACATACAATTATCAACGTTAATTGCTGCTCACTTGTGGATGCGTGCCCTCCATGCCAAGAAGGAGCTGGTAAGTAGTCATTGCCAGTGCCACCAGCAGGTCTCACTCTGACAGAAGCTGTGCGTTAAAGTTGAAAAGCTTCCTGTCTACTTGAATTAACGTCAACGTACTCAAGAGTGGGTCTGTCGTGACTGACATGCTTCACACGTCGCTTTAATACTGCATTTCTCCGGCGCTGTTAGGTTAAGTCGTCAACTTTGCTATTCACGTAAACACTTTTTGGACATACATTACTTGAGGCTTCTTAGTTTTGGACGTAAGATTTTGGTGATGTGAATATAAAAATCTATTTATTGCTGTAAAATAGTTTACTAACTAACTGATTCGTCAGTCAGTATGACAATCTGCTTGTCTGCTAATGTGGAAATAAAAACAAATCCCACGTGTACATATCCACTCCTTCACGGTTACATACGACTACTTAAAGTTTTATATGCAATCCATCCAGTACTGCAGTACTGTAAGAAATCATTCCATGCTTAACTAAAAGCATTCACACGAAATGAGTGTAAATTCGATGATTAAATTTTTCCACCAGAAAAATCAATTACAATAATGTCTCTCTGCAGTTCGGTGTACAAGTTTGTCTGTCTTATTTGTTCCGTAGTACTTCTTCCTTTTCTATTCCAGGTTCAATTGAACCCAGTTGTGTAGTTGTACAGTTGGTAGTCCGTTGGTAGCTTTAAAAAACAAAAAAAAAAACTAGTCCTTCTAAAAGGACTACGTTGATGGCCAAGAACTGGCAATTGCACTGACACTACTGCAAGTGCTGATGATGACGATGACGATGACGATGACGTTGGAGTTGTCGTCGCTGATGACTATGCCTGACTCCTTTGGACTCAACTTTTTCTATGTACGATTGCTTTGAGTTTTAATGTTACTTTTGATTTCGCTATCCACCTATAGTATCGTAGGAGCAGCTGTCCGAGCAAATGAAATTCAACGAGACGCACTTGATAAAAAGTGAAATGAGCAGGAAAAATATAACAAAATAGAAAAGAAATTAAATGAATTGAAAAAGAGGAAGAACAAAACTCAATAAAAAATTACATAAAAATAAAATAAATGAAAATTGTAAAAATAGCAAATGACAAGTGACTACAACTACAACTACAACTACAGCTACGACGACGACGTTATTGATGATGATGATGATGAAGATGTACTCTCAGATAATGGTCAGTTTTTGCTGCTTTCAGAAAAATTAATTGAAGTTGGATTGGTCTCGAGAGTTTACATTTTTCTTTTATTTATTCTTGATTTTTGATAAATGAAAGAGGAAAGAAAATCGTAACATAAAAAAAAAGAAGAAAATTTATAATTATAACGAAGCAATACAACATTTCAAAATAGAATTGTCAGCTCGGAAAATGTTATTTGCTCTGAAAATAATGCTTTATTCCCTCCATACTTGTTGGGTTGTTTTGCACTGGTGTCCACCGTTTGATACTTCTAAGCTCAATAGGATCAGCGAGTGCTCTACCATGATGTGTGCTTAGTAAATTGACAGTAAAAATACAAATTGATTGTAATTGTAATTGTTTCTGATAAATTTATTTGTTTTGTGGAGCGAATTTCGCTGCTGACAGATGCAAGGCTTTAATACACTTCACTTAGATGGAACATCAATATACTTTCCGAGAACTCCAAGAGAGTTTCAACTTTTTTTCATTCAGTTTTAAACAATTGCATAAAGGATAACAATATATAATTATAACGTCAAGATTAAAGAATAAAGTTTTTAAATAATAAAACATAATAAGTCTCTGTTTTATATATGACGAGGTTCGATTCTTAGCAAGCAGTTCTAAAATTATATTAATAAATAAATGTTTCAGGGTACTAATAAATGTTTCATGATGGATTTTAGACAATATGTTTAATAACAGTATGGTCAATCAATTACTATCACATAATTTTGCATATAACATACATGTACTTCTTTCCCATATATATTCCATGCAATAAAAACGGTAATATAGAAAAGACAAGTAATTGCTTTATATATCTAAGTTTTACTTAAAACGAATAATTATTTTCAGTCACTTGAAGTTTCATTTAAATAAAAAATATAGTATTTTTATATCTCAAACTTAGTTTTTGTGTACTTCAATTTTAGATATAGGAATCCCTAAATTGCCTTTCAACATTTCGAATGATTTATCATTTTCCAACTTCATCGGGTTGAATAGTAATTTCGTTTACTAAAGTCATTTGGTAGGATTTTGTCATTTCTCTTTTTGCATTTCCTTTTTACTGTGGTTAAAACTTTCCTTACCGAACGCACAAATTTATATCTGACCCTTTGTGCCATAAAGCATGGATGACACGTACACCTGTTGCTTTTTTTACTTTTATTATTG